AGAAATAAGATTGGGATTAAAATTACATCTTAACCCTTTAATAAAAATTTGGATCATTTTACCACTTAAGGGACTAAAACTTATGATTTGAAACTTGAGGAACTAAAACTAAAATCCATACAAACTTAAGGCACTAGCCTAATTCCTGTATGATCACTTTAATTTTGATATGCTTGACGCTGGTGATACATTAAATGTATATTGAGTTTTTGCAATTGTGCCCTGTATTCAGAGTCTTTTGAATTCCGTTTACCATTAAAAAAAAAAGAAGAGTCTTTTGGATTCCAACTAATGTAGTGTGAGCTAAGTGGAATTTTTATAGGTGACAAACTCTCCTAATGAATATTTATTATTACCTATCCGCTTTCTATAATATACACATTATGTTTGGAGGTAGCATACTATTAATTTTAGTTCTAAATATAAAAACTAATTTATAGTATAAATTACATTAGTTCTTATATTTACGATATTATTAATATATTCAGGATTTGAATTTAAAATTTGTTTAAGCTATTATATCCTCTTAAGTTTGTTTTTTTGGGTACTAATAAAGATTGGATTTGTGTCCAAGTGTGGGGCTTTGTGTTGGGCGGATGAAGGCGTGGGAGAAAAGGCTGGCAAAGTTTGCAACTTCCATTAGTCCACCTTCCGACCCCACATCTCCGTGGTCTTGGATTTGTTTTCATTAATGATGCAAGATTATGTAGTTTAATCCAAAAGTTTATTGGGTTCTTGTTGTTCCATTATACTAGTATATTTTTTTTATAAAATTAATTCTTTTAGAATCTCTATGTAATTGTCTCTTTTTGTTTTTTTAACTACTCCTCCCGCTAGTGGCATAATATAATACTAATATAATAAAACAACTCAGCAAGTAGAAGGCAAGAAATGTTGTCGTTTGAATTACGTGTTTCGCTTCTGGTGCCATTTAATGTATCTTTTAGTATTATATCTCTTCCACCTTCTATTCCTTTTCTATTCCCTCACTGCTCCAAACTTCCATGACAGATTCCTTCTACCTTCTCACTTCCCTCTTGTTTGGTGAAATACCTGCTTCACTCTCTCTCTCTCTCCCCCCCCCTTTTCTGTTCCTATATATTACCCTCTCCGTTTCTTATTATAAGAAACAAATAACTGAAGTACGTTGATTAAAAAAACAGTTAAAATTAGTTAAGAACAATTAATGTGTAAAAAGTATAATTTTTTTTCAAAAATGCCCTCATTAATAAGGAGAGAGAGCATGAGAGAGAACAATTAGATTATTAAAAGAAAGAGAAGTGAGAGGGAGAGAGAGTGTGAATTGGAGATAATAAATATGGGTAAAATAGTAAAACAACACAAAAAAGTAGAGACAACTTGTAAGTGTCTCTTATATATAGGAACATGCCATAAGCATCAAATGTCTCTTATAATAAGGAACGGAGGGAGTATAATATATACTCTTCTAGTCTTATTTGTAGAGCAGAAAAAAAAAAAGACATTTTTTAGTCTTATTTATAAGGCACTGAGAAAATGTTTTGTATGGATGTACAATTTTATCTCTCATTTATTATTGTGTTGACTTTGTTTACATAAGGTATAATGTATATTAAATAGGGATAAAGTTGAAAAGTTATTAAATCTTAAATGAGAGTTAATGAAGTTTAAGGTTTTTCTTGATCTGTGTAAAAAATATTAGAAGTACCTAATAAATAATACTAGAGGAGTACCGTTCTCGTCTTTTTTAATTGTCACTTGGAGAAAGAGATTTGGATGTTTTTTTATTTGTCATTTGTATCCTTTTTAATATATCACTTTCAATTCTACCCCTATTAATTAAAGGAGACAAATGTAAAGGTGAAGAGAGAAGGAATGAGTGAGAAAAAATACTCCCTCCGTTTCGTATTATAAGAGACATTTGATGCTTATGGCATATTCTTATATATAAGAGACACTTACAAGTTGTCTCTACTTTTTTGTGTTAATTTACTATTTTACCCATATTTATTATCTCCAACTCACACTCTCTCTCCCTCCCACTTCTCTTTCTTTTAATAATTTAATTGTTCTCTCTCATGCTCTCTCTCCTTATTAATGAGGGCATTTTTGAAAAAAAAATTATACTTTTTACACATTAATTGTTCTTAACTAATTTTAACTGTTTTTTTGATCAACGTATTTCGGTTATTTGTCTCTTATAATAAGAAACGGAGGGAGTACTAGCTATTTAATAAGGGTAAAATTAAAAGATTTTATATATTTAACTATCTCTTTGATATGTCAGAAACTATTATAAGTGACACTCCATTCCATTGGTCACTCCTACAAAATTTTTTTAATTATAATATAAGTCATTTAGAGTGTAATTAATGCTTATCTGTGAATAATGTCCTTGCAATTAATATTTGAACATGACTCCTTCTATTTTTCTCTATCCTTCACCCCCTTATTTAATATGAGTAAAATTTGAAAAAAATAAATTTGAAACCAATTTAATAAGTTAACTACTATTTTTTTTTAAATTTTTGATGAATCAATTAAGGTAGCATATATTGTGGATAGGAAGTATCTACATACTCATACACTTCTCTGGTCTTATTTATAAGGTAGAAATAGAGCATTTCTTGTCATTAATAGAAATCATCTCATTAAAATTATTATATGAATATACAATCTTATGCTTAATTTTTCTACTCGCTGCTATTTTTTAAAAAGTGTGTATATATACATATTAAACGTAGATAAAGTTAAAAAGAATTTTAATGTTATTATAGTTATTGAAGTTTAAAATTTTTTGGTTTTGGTAAGACATGTTAAAAATGTTTTATAAATAAAATTAGAAAAATACTCATTTAGTTCTATTTATAAGGTAGAGAGAAAGAATTTTTTGATACTAGTTATAAGATAAAGGGAAAATTTTTTTTTATATAGATGCATAATTTTGCCCTTCATTTATATTATATTAAATCAGGATAAAGTTAGAAAGTTATTAAATTTTAATGCAAAGTTTATGAAATTTAAAATTTTTCTTAGTTTATATGACACATATTGAAAGTGACCTATAAGTTAAGTTATAAGTAATAACACAGAATTGGATCAATATATCTTTACTTTATGTTTGGTACGAGGAATATGGAAAAAAGAGGAGGAGAGAAAAAATTTTCATGAGCTCGATTTAAACAATTAAAAAAAATGAGATCATAAAATTTTAGTAAAAAATATAAAACAAAAGAGTAATAACAATTAATTAAAAACTAACCATACTTATTCAATTTTTTAAAGCGAGCACGTCAAAATTTTTCCTCCTCTCCTCTCTTTTCTATTTTCCTCGTACCTAGCGGACGTTTAGTCCTATACTCCTATAGACTATATAAATTATTAATCCATCGCATTCATACTATAATTACCTGATGCAGGGCAATCTAAACTAATTTGTATTAAGCATAGTTTGGTCAAACTCTTTGACCTCAAGTCTTATTTGAGAAAATAGGCAAGCGGATCATGTCGGGTATTAATTTTTTTTTAAAAAAATTTTATTACTTGTGATTAATATTCCATTGAATCTTCAACCAGAAGATGCAACGTGGAAATAATTAAAAACGGTTGCTTTGATTTCAAGCAGCGAATAATTTCATCCACCATTAAATAGTTAGATGGCAAGTGTAAAGCTAAGCTTTTATTACAAAATTAACTACGCTTTCTGATTAATTACCATTCTCCCCTCGTCCGTACAAAAATTATTCCAGTCTGCTCTTATTTACTTCTGTGGTCTCATTATATAATAGAGATGGAGTAGTTTTTCCCCTTAATATCTAATCACCTCATTAAATTTTATAATATAAATGCACAATTTTACCTTTAATATGTTATTCTCTTTTTATAATAAATCATCTCTTTTGTGGCCGTGTCCCTAAATATAAAAAACAAATTCTCTTTGTTTAAAATTTAAATTAGTCTTTTCACTTTAACCCGTATTAAATATATGCTATTTATTATCTATTTATAATAAATTTTCACTTATTATCTCTAATATACTTTCTTTACAAACAATTTTATAATTAAAAAAAAAGTAAATTTAACTAACATTTTGAACTGCGTTATTTCAAATTTTAGTAGTTGTTTTTTATAATAAGACACGGAAAGAATATTATGTAGACGACTATTTTCTTGAACTGTGTATTAACAATAGATAAGATTGAAAAATTGTTAAAATTTAAGATAAATTTTTCTTAGTTTGGGTGAAATAGGTTGAAAGAGACTTATATCTTAGTCTAAATATTTAATAAATCTTTAATTTAATTATTATTAAATTTAGATAATTTAAAAATTAAATAATTAGAACGAAAAAACTTTCTTTTCTCTTATAAATATGATATGATATGACTAGAATAGAATGTCGAGGAATACATTGCTTCTTAATTAACTTAAGATTCTTCTCTTGATGCTAGTATATGCTATATAACATAACGTCAAGGTTTTAAGTAGTAAGATTATTATGTCAGATGAAAAACTGTAATTTTTCTCTATTAAAATTAATTAATTAGGTTTTATATTAAGAACTGAAATAATAATATCAACTACTACAAAAGATAATGTCAAGGTTTCAAGTGGTAAAATTATGTCAGATGCAAAACCGTAATTTCTTCTATCTCTCTCTCAAGCAGACAAAAAGAAATAAATGAAATTAACGTTACTAAAATGAATTAAATGAAATTAACGTTACTAACTTACTGTGAGTAAATGAGACAAATCTGTAACCGCAAAACTCAGGATTCAGAGCAAATATAAGCAACCAGAATGTGATGAATCACGACTTTTTTGTCTCCCCCTAATCAATGGAATTTGTTTTTATCAATCCAACCCAACCGAAGAAGACAAGACGACTTTAAAACAATGCCAAAAATTAAAAAAAAAAGAAGAAAATCATCGCAAGGGCATTTGCATAATTTCATATTCGCCCAAGGAGTAAAATCCATTTATTATCGCCTTTGCTTTCGTTTCATCTTCTTGTCCTCTCTTAACACCTCCCAACTTCCAACTTCATTCCCTTTTCTGTTCTCTGCTGTTCACATAACATGAGACCTCTGAACGACCAAAACCCAGCTGCTTCTTCTCTCCGAAATCTTTAGACACAGAGAGAGGGAGAGGGGGAGAGAGAGAGACTAAGGCTGTGTTTGGCTTTCGCAGTTTCTGGCTCCGTCGCCGAGGTCCGTTTTCTTATGGCGACCGGATGGGTGAAGTCGTTGCACTGTAAATCAAGAGCTTTTGAGGACGTTTACCACCCAAGCTCCAGGATTCTCATACCCACTTCTGGTTGCAGGAACAGTGTTCGGAGTATCAAAGACGTTGTCGTCGACAACGCCTCTAAGTCTAAACCGAGAAATATTCCCAAATCCAAACACCACCTTGAGAAGCATCCCAGTTCGAGATACCCACAGCGAGCAACCAAGCCTGAATCTCCTGTTAATCCTGCTGTTGTGAATCGGTCCCGTAGTAGTACCTCCACGCGCCCTGCGCGTGCGCCGGAATCGTTCTTCCCGGCTCTGACGGAGCTTGCTGTGGGGCATCCATCGCGGAATGTGGTTGAGATTATCTTCCATAGTAGTTGGGGTCCGAAGGCGTTTCCGGGTCGGATGGAGATGATTTTTAAGGTTCAGAATGGCTCTAAAACGGTGTCGCGGTTCGAGGAATATCGTGAGATGGTGAAAGCTAGGGCTCGGGTCGGGTCTTCGGGGCCGGCGGCGGGGAGTAATTGGGAGGAGGAGAATGCACGGTGCGAGGCGGACGGGAATGAGATGATGCGGTTTCATTGCTTAGGTCCGGCTTCGGGTGGTGGACCCTACGATGCAGCCGCCGGCGGCGGCGGAGGTTGTGGGTGGTCGTTCCCTGGAGCGAAAGGATCGGCAATCCGCACATTCGCCGGTAGCGGGTCTGCCCATGAGAACGCAGGCGGAGGGAGGGGACGGAAAGCGATGCTGGTGTGCCGGGTCATATCGGGTCGGGTAACGAAGCAAGTAGAGTTCATGGACTCGGTCTTGGATGGGCGAGTTGGGTACGACTCGGTGAGTGGGGAGACGGGCGAGTTGTTAGTATTTGATTCGCGTGCTGTTTTGCCCTGTTTTCTTATTATCTATAAATTGTAAAGAAAAAAAAAATGAAAGCCGAAATATTTACTGTTTTTAAATCCCTTACCTTCCTATTTTTATTTTTCTTTTCATTTTTTAAAATCAATGGATTTGTACGTATGTGGAGTTCTTCAGCCTCTTTTGCCATGGCTTTTAATTATCATCATTCAATTCATAAGCACTTTTTTTTTTGGTTTTCTTATTTTGGTTTTGGCTATTGCAAAGAAATTTAGGATAGTAAATGCTAATTACAAGCACATCGTCTCGTTTATTTGACTGCTTTTATCCTTTTTATTCATCATATTTGTACTGGTTCCCAATTTATTATTAATATATAACAACGTGTGTATGCCTATTTTATTTTATTGATCTATTTTCATGTGAAATATATTCACTCACATATGGATACAGGAAATAAATGAAGATTTCAATGAGAATGTTTTTAAATATTCCTTAATCTAATCCAAAAATATTTTATTGGTGGATGAACTATAAGTGTTTTTGTAAGTTTTTTTTAAACTAACCAATCTAATAGGAGGCTAATGCCATGTTTCTATAGTCACATGAATAAGAAAGGTCAGCACGTCATGATTTAGGCAGTGTTTGAATGGAAATCAAATCATAATTTTAAAAGTAACTTTACGATATACGAAGTAAGTATGTGAGAAAATTTGTCTCGATTTATAAAAAAGTGCTTTTAGAAAACACTTTTATGCAAATTCAAACACCTCCCTAAATGATTAGATCAATCAAACTATTCATTCAAACTGCTAACAAAGTAATTAAATAAAGAAGGATTAAACCAGGTCTCTGTAAATTTCTTCTTCTTCTTGGTTTTTTTTATTGGGTTCTTAAAATTTTATTAATCATAGATATTAATTCTTATACTCACAATCTGTCAAAGCTGCTGACTAATATGGAAGTGTTTGATTCTTAACGTCAAGTATGTAGTATGCCCTCTGCTAAAGGGAAAGTTTACTTTTTGCCAATTGATAAGAGTACAATAGGGTATACTCTTGCCCCATGTTAGAATGAGGGGATAAGTTCTGGGGAAGGAAAACATCGGAGGATTGAAACCATTCCTTATGGATGAGATAAGAAAAGTAAAGGTTTTAAAACATCGTTGTACTTTATTATGCTATCTTCTAACTCTAGCTAACTCTATCGAATCTCAAAAATATATTTCTTTCATTTTGTTTTTGAAACATATACACATGAAAAAAATTATTCTTAAACATATATCGCTTGGCTTTTTTTCCTTTCAATTTATTGTTTAACTTTTAAAACATAATTTTAAACATACGAAGATTATTTGATTTTAAATATATAATTAGAAAACATATATTTTTTCAAATATTTTCACTTGAAAAATATTTTGATAGAGTTTTTATACAGTTTTGTTGTATAAATGATGGCATGAGATATAAGGAATGTTTGGGTAACCCCATAATCACTTTTCAGAAGCACTTTTCTGCAAATCGAGACAAACTCCTCTATATATTTACTTCGTATACTGTAAAAACATTTCTAAAATCATAGTTTTGTTCTTATCCAAATACTCTCATAATAAGGGGGAATCCTACTATTAATTTTTTGAAGGAGAATTTTTTTTTTCTTTCCTGTAATGGAAAACTAAATGAAGTCAAATATCCAGTATATTGCGTTAATTTGACTTTCTTTTTTTGCCTTTTTCACATCAGATCTACTCAAAAATGTCACAACATGCGAGCTCACTTGCGGCACTATGGTACTGACTAGAGGAAGCACGAGATGATGAATGTCACTGACACGATTACTCCAGAAACCAAGGATATAGAATTCATAATTAAATTTGGCACTCTGTATGTCAGTAATCAGTATGGTGGGAGCGGGCAAATAAAAAATAATGACAGGAAAATTTTCTAAAAAAAATTACTGTCTTCGGTCTTTAATATAAAATCTTATTTGACTTTTATTTTGATTCAAAATATAAAACCCTAATCTATTTTGTCTCTCATATTTATGTATTTTTTTTCAAGATAATACTTCTAATAATGGTAGTTCTAGCCAATATACTCAATTAGCAAGGATATTTTAGTAAAGACAACACATATTTATTACAAATAAATAACTTAACTTCTTTCCTTAATCTCTTCAAATTAGTTAACTATCTTTTATAATTAGGACCGGAGGTAGTACTAAAATGTTCTGATAATAACAGCCTTATGTTTTAAAGTAGAAAATGACAATTTTTAGAACTTATTTTGTAATTATTTTTTTTAAGACCCAATTATAATTCTCCCTAAATTATATGAAAATTGCAGAACTTACCTCTCAGTTTCTCAAAACTTCACTAAAAATTTGATAAGCCCAGTAATTCAGCATACAAGCAAGAAAGCGTGAAACCGATCATTTGGCCTTGTTTCCAAAAAAAAAAAAGTTAGGTCATAAATTGATTAAAACAATTATCAGTTTATTAACTTAAAAGGGTATTTTAATCTTTTAACAACATTTAAAAGTTCTTAACAAGATCTCCTCGCTTGATTAAGAATTTCTTAAAAGCATAAGCTTTAATTTAAATTTTGATATTTCAGTCGAATTTAATTTAGATTCTCCCCATAATAAATTAGGATCATCATAAATATTATAGGTGTGTGGAAGCCTATAACATCTAAAAATGAGGCTTTTTACCTTTCACTTCATATTAAATGACTTTTATATCCTATAACCCCATATCATAACCCCCAATTAAAGGTTTCTTATATTTATTTCTTTTAACTTCTAATTGTACAATTATGTTACTTAGTTCTTTTCTTTTTGTACTTGAAACTCTTTAGGTTAGTTTTTTTTTAGTGAAATTAGTCTTCAATATTGAGTCCTATAAATAAAGGAAAAAGTATACACATTTAAGACAATAAAGGCCACGCTTGGATTTTTGTTGGAGATGATAAAAACACATGGGAAAGTGTGAAACTGAGGTTTGTAGCTTATTATTACTTAATTGGTTGTTTGGATGGGCTTCTATTTTTAAGTGAAATTTTCTTATTTTGTCTTTCAATTTCCTCTTATTTTTTTATATCACTCGTCTCAATCTTTTGTATTTTTTTTATTTTTATAATAAAGATGCAAATATGTTAGTTTCACTATGATGTTTGCTTATTTTCTTGGGTTAAGTGCAATTTTTAACTCCAATCTTATTTTTCAGGTGTAATTTTGCCCCTGATCTTTTTAATGGTGCAATTTTGATCCTGATTTTTTGGGGTGCAATTTTGAGATCATAGAAAAAATTGCATTTGGAAAAAAAAAGATCAAGGGCAAAATTACACGACCAGAAAATTAGAGGAAAAATTACATCTAAAAAATAAGATCAGAATCAAAGATTGCACCTTAACCCTATTTTCCATATTTTCTCTCTTTCATCTAAACAGAAATGGTGATAATATTATTTTTTTAGGTTTTTCTTCTCTCTATTTTCTCATATTTTTCCCCTCCCAACTTTTTCTCCCGTCCAAACAAAGTAGAGAGGGGAAAAATTCATCCTAATTTTTCCATATTAGGACTGTCGAGTAAATCCTTTAAGCAACATTGCATGTTGCAACTTATTGGATTAAAAAAATATAATGGGACATCTACTCTACTTTGGGATATTCATTTTTTAAAAAAAATTAAAAGGAAAGAAAAATAAAAAAAACTTGAACAATAAGATTTGGGCCAGAAATAAGACAAAGCCCGACAAATATGGGTTCTCAAATAATTGGATTGTTGGTAATACAAAGCATGGGCCTAAGCCCAAACAAGGCAGGCTGATTGATTTTTAACTTTATGGAATCATCCAAAAATTAAAAACGACTTCAATTCTGTGTTGAATGATTCCTCAAGCATCAGGATGATACTCCAGCAACACATGCAAAGGCTTCCCATTCAATCTCTCACGACCCTGCCACAAAAATTAACACTAATTAATTAAATAATTACTTAATTAAGCTAATTAATTTCATCAATTTAATACTAATCCAAACAACTAAATCCCTAACGCACCTTTAATTCCGGTAATTCGATCACACATGCACATTCAACCACTTCTGCTCCGACACGCTCTGCACAACAACCACCGAAGGAACAATTGGGATAGGCTCCAAGTGTCTCTTATAAAATCGAAATTGCGAGAACGAAACCTACCTAATAAATCCATGGCCGCACACAGAGTTCCACCGGTGGCAATCAAATCATCAACCACCAGAGCCCGGTCGCCGACGTCCACGGCTCCGACATGCATCTCCAGGCGATCTCTTCCATACTCCAACGTATAATCTTGAGATATCACTTTCCCTGCCATCCCCCACCACCACACATTATAACTTCATCTCTCTCTCTCTCTCTCTCTCTCTCTCTGTGTTAGAGACTACAAACTAAACGAGTGTAGATATATATGTGTGCGCGTAAACATACCAGGTAACTTCTTGGGTTTCCTCATGGGGACAAACTTGGCTCCTATTGCCAGGGCAATGGGAGGACCAAATATAAATCCTCGAGCTTCTATTCCTGCCAAAATTTTGTGCCTTTGTTACTAGTCATTACAAAATACTCATCTAGTCCTATTTATAGGACAGAGAGATAAGATATTTTTTTATCCCATTTATAGGGTATTGAGAGAAATTTTTTGTGTTCATGTACAATTTTACCTTTCATTTATTATTATGTTAGTTTTGTTTACATTAAGTATAATGTATATTAAATATGGATAAAGTTGAAAAGTTATTGAATTTTAAATAAGAGTTAATAAAGTTTAAGATTTTTCTTGGTCTGTATGAAACATGTTGGAAATGACTTATAAATAGGACCAGACAAGTACAAATTGAACTATCCAGGTCATGTGCTTTGCAAAGAATCTTATGAGAGCTATACCATTGATACTCATAACCTATAAATACCAGGAAAAATTAATTCGTCGGTCCTATAGCTTCATATAATCTTAAATTATGTTCCTGTAATTTTTTTTTGGTTTTTATTGGGTGCTTGCAGTTTTATCAATCATAGGTATTAATTCCTATACTCACAATTTGTCAAAGCTAATCAAAATGATGACTTAGCAACATATAAGTGGCCACAAAATACAATACAGAAAATTTTTTTTAAAAAAATAAATTTATTTATCATCAACATAAAAAAAATTATTATACTCATTTTTTTGCCAACTATTATACTCATAATTGTTTCCTTACATCTATATATAACAGGTAATCTGGTTAGTTTTGCTTCTATTTAGAATTGTGGAGCAAAATTAATCTACATGCACGTTGATGATATTGTTTCTCTTAAAAATTAATACGACGAGTAAATTATCAGTATAAGGGTTGATACCTCTAATTGAAAAAAATATATGGACCTAATAAAAAAATTACAAGGATTTAATTAAAAGTGAAATGAATTTGCACATGAATTTTTCCTAAATAGCATGACATACATGTGATATTATGCGTCTTTATAGATTACAAAATAGTACATGGGACATCCTCTAGAGTAAAAAATAAATCCATTTCCTTTTTTTTTTTAAGTACTTTGCACGAGAAAAATATTCTTTTCAGTTTGGACCCGCGATTATGCATAAGGTAAATTTTGAAAATGTGCAGAATGTTAAGATTGGAATTCACCCAAAAAAAAAAAACCCCAAATTCTATATAAGACCAATAAAATATAAACATAAATTAGTCACCCATGCCAAAACCATAAGCTGATAACTTTCAAGCAATTTGAACATCTTGATATGAATACTTCGACTAAAACTTACTCCAAGAATATAGCCAGGGATTACTCATTAAGGGTTAGTACTGCTTTTGTTCTAAATATAAAACATATTTAATATTATAAAATAGATCTTATATCTAAGATTGATTGGAGGAGTATTTATTAGAATCAAGTTCAATAAGCTTCAGCTGAATCAGTATGCAATTACCTAAAAATACCCAACACGTGACAGCTAAATATCTGCGGTACATAAGATCAGAAATCCACAAAAAGCACACAGAAAGAGATGTAACATATCATCTGAAACACTTTGAAGAGCCAGAAAAGTTACAATCACGTTGCAACAAGCTGAAGTGGGAATAGGTCATTGGATGTTGCAGTAAGAGAGATTTGAATTTGAACAGATATGATCCTAAGAGAAGATCAGAACAAGAAAGAGAAGAAAAAAAGAGGGAATCAACACAAATCAAAAACAGAGGATAAATGAGGCACTGTAGATGAAGTCACCTCAACAGTGAAATGTGGGGCTCAATATATATAATGAAGCCAAACAAAACTGGTCCATTCGAAACTTGTATAAAGAGAGAGAGAGAGAGAGAAGGGTAGAGAGAGAGGGGGCCCACTTCCCACAAGTTGATTTGGAGAGAGGGAAAATATATAAACTTCAGAAAGCAATCAATGGCAAAGCCCACTAACCACAATTCATAGTCAAACCAAAAATCAATCTCAACCCCAAAACCTACAGTCACTTCCATTGCTTACCGTCTCTCTCACGGAGAAAAATCACCCAACAACACAAAACTTGAACTTGGTGTTTTCAAAAGTGATTCTGCATATTTCTTCTTAGCCAACCATGGACCCTACCCACCTTCAAGTTTAATTACAGTGATGAACCTACCACCCCAGCCTGGAAGGGTGGGGGGAAAAAAAACAGAGGATTTAAATTAAGTTTCTGTTTTCCTTTTACCTGCAACAACGGAGATGTTCTTGCCTTTATAACGTTCAACGAACAAATCGATGGTGTCCTTGAAGGCTTTTGGATCGAGCAAAAGAGTTGTGATGTCTTGGAACATAATACCTACCATTGCAGATAAAAAGCAAGCAAACTGAGAAAAAGAAAACACGAAAACCAGGAAAGCAAAACAGAGCTGACGAAGAAGAAGAAGAAGAAGAAAGCTCACAGAAAAACAGAGCTGGAGAAAGAAGCTAAAAAAAATAATTTAAAGAAGAAACTGATAAGCATATTGGACGGGTAAAGAAATGCAGAAGCAGAAGAAGAAGAAGGAACAAACCGGGTTTGGGAAAATTGGGGACGACACGAATCTTAGTTCTGATGCCATTGATACGAGGATCCTCGTCTCTGTAACCCGACATTGTATAATGGTCAGAGAGAGCAGGGACAAAACAAAAAGGAGGCTCCTTTGGCTCAAAGGAGAAGCAACTTGAGGCTGAAAGAAACACAGCAACACTGCTAGAAGCGAGAATATAAATATGAAAAGACAAAGAGGATGAAACAGAATATAATATATGAGATGTGGGGAGAGAGGGAGAAGAAAAGTGACTATATTTATAAGAGAAGAGGGGCACTGAAGATTTTTTTTGGGCATGAAGAGGGGCACTGACGATTGAAGATCCTCTTTTACTTTGAGTGGTAGATCTTTTCGATAATTAAGAAAGCGAGGTTTCCTTACAATTTCTTTTTTTTGGTTTCATGGGGGAAAAAAGAGAGGTTAAAACAAAAGCAGGAATCACGAGGTTCCACTCTTGTCCAATCTCTTACTTACACATTATACTTTTCGGATAAGAGTAAGAGCGTGTAAATTTTGGAGCAAGAGTATGTTAAGATTTGATGATTAATATTAACATAAATCTCCCATCTAACTCTGATATTTAGAACAGAAGGGAATATATTTTTCCACATATTTTACAAAGGCTAGAAAAAGGTTATTTGTTTATCATTGGTGAATAATGTGATTTAGGAGCTCAAAAGGAATATAATAATATCCACAATACTTAAATTAAGTTCCCTATATTCATTATGTCTAGTTTTTTTAATCACACATAATCATATGTCTTATTTTAAAATAATATTATTTAATTACAAATTCATATAAAAAAAGAACATATGACCACGTATAATTAGGAAAATTAAAAAAATAAATATAAAAATCTTGACCAAAGTATTCTCCTAATGGTATCCAACCAAGGACTCCAAACTGAAAGAATGGAAACATATTGAAAGCTTAGTGGCCCTTAAGAGTAAATAATTATTTCATGACAATTGCCTCGTATTTTTCTAACATCATTCTTTCAAAAAGAATTTTAAAAAAATTCCAAGCTACAGATTAATAAACATGGACTATATATATATATAAATTATAGCCACGTTTATTTGCCATGAATCTGCGATGAATATTGAAGAGTACGCTGCAAAATGTTTAAGTAGTGCCGCCAACTACTCTGGTCCCCAACTTCAAGCTATGCGTAGCAACAACTGGGGAAATAAAATTTGAAAATAGAAAGAGAATAATCTGTAATTGTGTATTGTCTTATTTTTTTATTTATTCATTAGACACATTTTCTTGAATTGTTATTCAAAATATAAAAAGAAGTTGCATTATTTGTAATTCATAAATAATATAATATTATACGGAGCTCAATGAATTATGTTGTTCACCCCTGATTTGGGTTTATCCCTTGAAACCGGCAAGACAAAACAAAATCAAGTCTTTGTTTTGATTTTATTATAAATAATTATTTGTGTTTCACAAGACAAAATTCTTACATCTCATACAATATAAAATCATTTCAAATAAGCTAATTTAAACTAATTACATCATGAGCATATTCTATTAAAGACCATAACATCTTTGCCCTCATGAAAAACATTTCACCCCAATAACTATTATAAGTCATTTGTAACTCATATATATATATATATATATATATATATATATATCTATAAGATGGCTAGGTCAATAAATATGTTTCAAATTGATAGTGATTTTTTTCAAATCTATCCTTGTTAAAAAATTATTTTCTCTTTATATTTATAAATCATTCTCACATCTCTTCCTCGGAAACGGTCATTGATAACCTCCAAATTACTTATACTTTTTTTGGCCAAACAAATGACTTATATTTGAAACTAATTTTTTTTTTCTACAAATACCTTATAATAGTTATTGGAGTTTTTTTTTTTTTTTTCAAATGATAGAAAAATGATGAGCCAATGACACGTGTGTACATGAGTGTCTATATGTAATAATATGAGAGGACGTAATAGATCAGCGAGAAGTAACTAAAAGAATTAGAATGAAACCCCAAAAGAACCTGCCACTTATAATTTCAAACACAAGAAACGGGACGGATGATCAGGTGAGGACTTTAAGAGCACATGTCTTTTATAAATCTGGTCATGAAGACATTACAAGGTTGGTCACTCTCCTGATACTATTAAGTATTCTCTTGAGAATACGAGAATACAAATAAGATTCATATAAAGAGAAATAAAATTATCCTATTATTAATCATTAAAATCATCCCTTCTTCAAAGTACAAAAAACGTGGCCTATGTTATAGGCAATCATAGGACACTCTAGAATCATAATCCTAAAACATAAATACTAAAATGATACCTCATTGATAATTATTTAACTATAGAAGGCATCATTTAATACATAAAGAGAAAAAAAAATTACTTAAATTTTAAGAACAAGTTTGCTGTCTAAAAAAAAAGGAAACTGAATTAAAACACAATCTTCTAGATCAATGCTTGACCAAAAGGTCTTATTCACAACAATTAAAAAAAAAACTCTCTAAATATGAAATTAAATCATAATTAATGCGTAATGATGCTTTCTAAATGCCTCTTAAATGTTTTTTGACGTCATTTATGATTCTCGTCAAAAACACATACTTGTCATATAGTATTTTAATTGAATTTTTCAGGACTCCACATAAAACTTGTACATCATCTTGGACTCTTGTTACTTGTTAGGCTCACTAAATTATACTATGAGGCTTTGGACTGTCCTATCGCATATCACTTCAAACATTGTATTTGTAATTGTCCATGTCATTATTCAACCAATAATCTATGTCCTTCTCGGTACAAATATTCCAAAGCTAGTAATTTTTTAAATATTTTGGAGGGCTTGTTAAGCCTAGACAAATACTTCCTGAGTTTTAAGACCTTATATTGACCGTGTCCTGATATTATGCTATCATATTATGATATCTTGATATACTAAATCCTAGATAGATATGATTTGGTTGGGAGGGTGGCAAGGCATAGCACATGGATGGAAGGCAGAGTGGAGAATGAGTGTGGCTCATTTGCGGGGGTTGCTTTCGAATCTCTGCACGCTAATACTCTTGTCAATCACATCATAACATGGGAAGTCTAAAATATTAACATAATCAATACATAAGGTATTATTAATTAATTTAGAGAGATTAAAAAAATAATAAACAAATTACTTTTTTTTTTTGGATTACTCCATCCGGTATCCCAGGGAAATAGGCGTCTTTCAGCCGTAACAACGTCCCCAGACTAATCCGGATTCGGGAGCTTGCAAGGATCCATACGGACGGCGCCCCCTGGCCCCTTGGAGTGCTGCATTCCCACGTCTCGAACCCGAGATCCGTGGTTAAACTAGGACGACCCCAGCCAGTCGACCTAACCCCGCGGGGTTATAAACAAATTACTTTAAATATTTATATTTATTATTTTTTAAAAATAATTTGTCTGATTTATAAAATGATATATAATATAATAATATATATAAGTATTTTAAAGAGATCATGTAACATATCATATAATTAAGTCATTATTTAGCTTTCTCAATCTCTCCAAATCAGTCAACTTAGTATTATATTAAATATCTAGGGTAGTATTAATAAATTAATAATAAAAAATTTTATATAATGAATAATATATAAAAAATTTACATGTTTTAGTTTAATTGAAATAAACGCTTAAATGTATAAACTGTCAAGCTAGTATATAAGCTTTGTTCTGTCAAAAATTTACAAGTAAAATATTTATTATTAAAATAATATATAATTTGTTCAGTAAACCAAAGTTTAAGGCAAATTGAGGTTTAAGACAAACGGTTAATTTAAAAAAATACTTACAAAAATGTTTATAGATAAATCATTGATAAACTCTTCATATCGGCATTTCTTGTAAATATTATTTCCTTTAACTATCAGCAAAAATACTTTCAACTTATAATTCTTCAAGAAGTGAATAAAATTGCCCTCTATCATTTTTTATGTTGGCTATACTAAGATTTCAGCACCTTAGTTTTATTTATTATGCATTTAACATTATAAATCATAGATGATATTAAGATGCTGGATATAACTAAAATAATAACATCAGAATGTTAGATGCATCTTAAATAAAATTAAAACACTACATATATTAAAAGAATAATATTATATTTCCAGAAATAGTAAAAATCAAGACCGCAATTTGCAGGGGAATCATTGGCCGTTGACTTTGACCATGTAACTTGTAGAGACTCGTCTTGTGAGGTGGGCGATGTGAATTTGGAAAAAAATAAAAACACTAAAATATCTTCAAAAATTCTCAAGAATAAATTAGAGTGGGTGAATTTTAAAATCTCAAATAAGACCCCTTATACTATTTTAAAATTTTAAAATATTGTGAAATGATATCATTACCTTTACTCTTAGTAACTACTTTTATATAGTTATTGACTACTCTAGTTTTACTATTTAATATTTTTGTTTTCAAAATTCTAATGACTATTTTTATATAGCTATTGACTACATAAGAGTAGTAAATAACTAAACACAAAGTAGTCACTAAATCTCCAACAACACTTATTGTATTTTTTGAATTTTGAAATAAAAATAATCAATAGCAAAATTAAAGTAATCAATAGCTAAACAAGGGTAGTCAAAAAATTTTTAAAAATGAAAGTAGTCAATCATAATACTAAAGTAGTAAGTAGCTAAACAAGAGTAGTTGTCGAAGTTCTAAAAACAAATGTAGTCAATAGCATAAGAATGAGTAGTCAATATATAAAAAAGAGTAGTCACCGGAGTTTTGACAGTAAGCTAGCGGTAAGGTCGCTAGTGTCAGAGCCTTGCGAGGCTGAGATCAGTTAAGGATGTTGAGATGGCAATAGTTGAGAGAGAGAGAGAGAGAGAGGGAGAGTATTAAAGAGTATTTGCGTAATTTCACAATATTTGAAAATTCTAAAATAGTACAAGAGGTCTAAATTGAGATTTTGAAATTCACCCATACTAATTTCTGATTTGTCCTTTAACAATTTGGGAAAAAGATAGAAAAATGACAAATGAACTTCATAATGTCAAAAAAGTTTGCCGAATTTGAGAAATCCCAATTTAGTCTCAAGAGACTGATTTGGCATTTATAAATTTGCTGAAATGACCATATTGCCTTTCATTTTATTTATTGTTTTTAAAATACCAAAACTCCCACTAGCTGGCCGATCACCGAAGCTTCGGTAGCGGCAGTCACCAGAGCTTCGATGATA